CTGTCGCCCAGGCTGGAGTGCAATGGCACGATCTCGGCTCACTGCAACCTCCGCCTCCCAGGTTCAGGCAATTCTCCTGCCTCAGCCTCCTGAGTAGCTGGGATTACAGGCACGCACCACCATGCCCAGCTAATTTTTGTATTTTTAGTGGAGATGAGGTTTTACCGTATTGGCCAGGCTGGTCTCAAACTCCTGACCTTGTGTTCCATCTGCCTCGGCCTCCCAAAGTGCTGGGATTACAGGCGTGAGCCACTGTGCCCAGCCTCTAGCTTATTTTGTTAAATATTTATTGACATTTTAAAAAGGATATCTCTAAATGTGAGCACAGGCGTCCCTGGTTGATCCCTACCACATCCATTAAAAAAAGACCAGGTACCTGGGTATTTGAACCATTGGAAATTTCACATTTTCCTTCAATGCCTATTTTACATTTTATGCTGAAAAGGATAATACTATCATATTTGTCCGTAACATTCATTTGTTGTAATATTCAAACGTATATTTTTATGTTCTGTGACCACAGGCTCTAAATGCTTAAAAAAATTCATAAAAAGGCGCGGCGGCTCACGCCTGCAATCCAAGCACTTTGGAGGCCAAGGCGGGCGGATCACCTGAGGTCAGGAGTTCAAAACCAGCCTGACCAACATGGTGAAACCCTGTCTTTAAAAAAAATAAAAATAAAAAAATGTACTTGGTGGGGTGTTGCCCAGGTGGGCCTCAAATTCCTGGATTCAAGTGATCCTCCCACTTCAGCCTCTCAAAGTGCTGGGATTACGGGTGTGAGCTACGGTGCCCATTGCTCACTAAAATTATTTTTTATTTTTATTTTTTTTTTGAGACGGAGTTTCGCTCTTGTTACCCAGGCTGGAGTGCAATGGCGCGATCTCGGCTCACCGCAACCTCCGCCTCCTGGGTTCAGGCAATTCTCCTGCCTCAGCCTCCTGAGTAGCTGGGATTACAGGCACGCGCCACCATGCCCAGCTAACTTTTTGTAGTTTTAGTAGAGACGGGGTTTCACCGTGTTGACCAGGATGGTCTCGATCTCTTGACCTCGTGATCCACCCGCCTCGGTCTCCCAAAGTGCTGGGATTACAGGCTTGAGCCACCGCGCCCGGCCACTAAAATTATTTTTGAGTGGAGATACTGTTGGTTATTATCAGTACTCAATTTTTTTTTTTTTTTTTTTGAGACAGAATCTCGCTCTG